ACGCCAGCCGTCACCATTCACGTCTTGAAGAGGCACAGTGTTAACGCATTAAGATCACATGATGTACCTCGTCGGCGAAGAGCAGCGCCGAGGCGTCGACCCCAACGTGATACAGGAGCCAAGCCGCCTGTCTGCACCTAGCCATCCTGCTCCGGCGCATGTTCACCACCGGCACTGCTGCGTGGCCATCCCCCTTGCTTGGCAGCATCCACGCGTAGCATATCGCCGCCACAATAGAGCTCACACCTACCCAAGTTCAAAACAAAGATCCAATAAATGACCACAGAGCTCAGTTTCAGTTCAAATTTCAAATATGGGGCCAGAAGCTCAGAAGAACTTACTTTTGGAGGCGTCGGAGAGCACGAGCTTGGTGGGCCTCGACGCGGGACGGTCCCCTGCCGCTAGGTCGGCGACCACGGCGCGCTGGCGGCGGAGGAAGGAGTTGAGGCGGGCGACACCGTCGCCGGATCCATCGGCAGCAAAAGCGGGGGCGGAGGACGCGGAGGCGTGGTGGCGGTGGCGAGAGTGCCCGGCGGAGATGGGCGAGGTGGAGGTGGACGTGGCGCGACCGAGGGGGGAATCGGGGGTAGGTGCATCGCGGAAGCGGGACTTGCGGCGAGGGTTTGGGGGTAGGGAGGGGGACGGGGAGGGGGGCGCGGAGGAGGCGAAGGGATCGGAGCGCGGAGGGGACGAGCTGATGGACGCGCGCTGCAGGATCTCGTCGCCGATACCGCCCGGTTGCCAGTGCCTGCAAGCACGCACGCACGCCGGAGGAAGATCAGTTTAGCGGGGAGGATGAGCGTTCGCGGCGGGCGCCATGGGCGGCAAAACTTGCAGAGTGAGGTGAGAGAGATTGCATTTGGGCCACAAACAACTTGCTAGTGCCTGTTGGGCTATTGGATAGGCTTTTCGGCCTGTTAAAGATCAGGGTCATTTAATATAGTGATCACTGATCAGGTATAAAAAAAGGCAACGTATCAGGTGCAAACCAACTAACCCGTGCAAACTTGGAAACTATAAATCAGGATCACTGGATACTGATCCAATGAATGGGGTGAGATGTGGGATTTTTTTGCGCTTAAGCCCCCACCCGCCGTCCTTTTTTTGTGCTTAAGCCCCCTCGCCCCATCCATTGGATCAGCATCCAGTGGTCCTGATCGGTAGTTTTAAGTTTGCACAGGTTGGTTGGTTTACACATGATATGTTGTCATAAAAAAAACCCACAAAAATATAGTGAGCTATAGACTACTTTCTCTATTTTAAATTATAAATTATAAAACGTTATATATATATATATATATATATATTGCTATGTATTTAGATATACATAGAAAAATCAAAACATCCTGTAATTTGGACGGAGGAAGTACTAAAAAACTACTGACTTGAGTACTAAAATAAGAAGCTCAAAACTATGGTTAAGCAAAGGCTCTGCACTTGGCAAGCAACGGCACATTTTTGCAGCACCTATGGGGGTTTCTAACTTCGCCACTACCCACTTATGGGGGTTTATTTGGCTGCATTCGTATTCATCTCAATGTACATATTTTGAGATGGATTGGAATATAAATTAGTTATTTTTTCATCTGAATATATGTAGACTAAGGAGAATTCGAGTGCAGCTAAGACTTTTATTATGAATCCGTTGAAGGCCTCGTTCTAAAAGAAATATTGAAGATAGAACATAAGTTATTTTTCATGGACAAAAAACTGTGGCGCATTACTCTAAAAAACAAAACAAAAAACAAGATTACGGTGCATGTTTAAGACTGGATATTAATTTTATAATATTGAGGAAAATCGTCCAACAGGCCAGCACTGCAAAGTCTGTTTGGATAACGCCCTCATTTGGAGCGCTCACCTGGGCAACTAAATCCAATTCTAGGTACTCGGAAATGAACATGTGAACCCTGTCTCAAATAGTATTGCGTTTGGTAGGGATCTAGATTCTCCTAAAAACATTTCAAATTCAGGATTTTCTTTAAAAACATTTGTTTGTTGAAATAGAATCGCTTGGTAAGAATTGATGAAACCATTTGTCTATTGATCCAGATTCTCCTTAAAATGAACTAGAATTACTGCAAAACACATATATATTTAGATGATTCCCATTCCTAGTTCGAAATAGAGAAATATTTATGGGTGTTTCACGGAGAATCGCTTCACATAGTGTTTGGTAGGGACTCTAAAGATTCCCTTGAGAATCCGCCGTAACGTTTCTATCATCCAAACACACAACTGTGTGAAGCTTCTAATTCTACAGGTGAGTGTGGGTCGTGAGCCCGTGACATATAGCTAAAATTGTGATTATATATTTTTTGATCTTGTCAATGGGTCTGTTTATTCTACGATCCTATTCAATAGAATATACATTTCTACAATTTTTTAATTTGCTATCCTATTATCCTACCCAAAATCCTCCATTCAATTTAGAAACGACCTAGCCCGTGACCAGTCAACGATGTTTTGCACGGGCACTCCAGGCCATGGCACAGTTGTGGTGGTTAGAGAGAAAAAAACTGCGTTCATGCATTAGTGCATCGAGCGAACTTGTCGAACCAACTCAGTTCGTCGTAGGACTACAATGAGTACGTGAGTCTCCGTGAGCGCGCGCGCATGGTGCACCGTGCACACGCCTGCACGGACGAAAGTGATCTAGTTTTACCTTCTGGCGGACCGCGACATCGGGTCCCGGCGGTCGAGCGTCGGCGAGGGCTCCGTCCCAGATCCGCCGGCGAACCTGGGCAGCTGCCTGGACGGCGACCCGACGCCCTTCCGCCCCGGCGATCCGGCCCCGACCATCCTCCTCGCCTCCTCCAGCCAATCCTGCGTTTCCTTGCTCGCGCTGCTACCGCCGCCGCCGCCGCTGCTCTTCCCCTGCTTCTTGTTGCCCGCTGGCGATGCTGGCCTCCTGCTGCTCTCGCCAGTCAGGTCGTAGCCGCCGCCGCTGTGCCGCGCGCCGACCGTGCCGAAGAACCAGTCGTTCATGAAGTCGGTCAGGTCCGGCGCCCCGTCCACCTCCATGCTGGCAGCACGTCCAAAGGACGACGCCTCGGGTGCTTACTGCTTATTAGCTTGCTGCGTATTAATTTGGAGATGTTTCTTTCTCTGTGAAGGTTTTGGATGCAGGTCGCGGGCCGGCCGGGGTTTTACCCTGCTGCGTGCGGAGATGAAGAGGTGGCGGAGGATCGGGACGGGCCGGGCAGTGCCGAGAGCGCGTCAACTGATGTGGCGGCCGGCCGTGGGCGGCGTCTTGTATCGTAGCGCGGACCACGGAGAGATCGTTCGATCATTCCGAGGCCTTTGTTGTATTTTGCCGCGAAACGGCACGGGATCTCAATACGCGCCCTGCAGGTGGAGCTCGCTGATGAGACAACGGCCATCGGCAGCTGCCCTGGCTTCGTCGCCTCGATATGGGTAGCGTGAACATTACACTGTTGTCGGCCGATTTTAACCTCGGTAGTTCTCTTTTAGGTGAAGTCAAATTTCCAGAGCCCAACCTGGACGCCGATTTTGAACCTTAACTACTAAACCGGGTACCGGACGTTCTTCAATTGTCAAAAGCTGAGCTCTGAATTGCAATTGTACTGACCACTATCAACCCGCCGCCGCTACGTGCCCCTCTGCATGATGCCACCGACTCAACATTGGGTCCATGCACGCTGTAGTCTCGCCTACGCGCCCTGCATCTGTAGAGTGTGCGCGCATAAAGGTGAGTGCGTCTTGTGTGCATCTACAGTCGTACCTTATTTCAGAATATAAAATGATAATAATCGTCAATCGTGTATAGATTCCATACAAAACAGGTTCATTTGATCGAATAGATATACTTTAGAGCAATTGAGCAACTCCAAAACTGTCTATGTCCTAATTGTTAGGAATAGAGATTTTAGTTAGAAAATAGTCTTCAACAACTTCTTTAACTGGATATCAAATAGAGTCATGTTCTAGATTTCTTCTAGCCAAAATAGAGAACTCTCTAGAATGCACAAGATATAAAAGAGCTGTTATATAGAGTGAAAAGATATTGAAATCGGTTTTTATTTAAATGATGATTTAGAGAGAGTGAATTTTTGAAAGACTCTTGGAGTTATTAGAAGAAAAATATGAATATTTTCAAGTTCTGCTCAAAATGTGTTACGTGAACCGGACCGACCAATCTCAGTAAAGTTTTATTCCAAACGCGTTGCACCTGTGACCATGATGTTGTAGCACATAAATCAATGGCGGGGCTTATGATGCATCATGCATGTACGTACAAATGTGTAAAGCACTTCTACCTAATATTAAAGAATAAAACGTTTCTTCTAATCCGTTTTTTTACTTCCCAAGCTGCCCTCACACCCTCCGTATTCCGTAAGACCCAGCCCGGATTCATGATCTGGTATATGACCCGGATTCATAGAACAATTAGCACATAGAATGTAGAAACTGAATTTCAGTACCCGTGCTAACACTACAGGGCACATCTTAAGTAGCTAACTTGACATGACAATTAGCACATAGAATGCAGAAACTGAGGTTGTCTAAACAAGGTAGCAATTACCCTTTAAATGAATCAATTGTACAGACCAGAAGGTTAAGATTAGATTCCAGTCCTGCCTACATGAATCTGTGACTTCATGAGAATTCGAATATACGTACACAAAAGGTACCATGTGAGGAACAGCGGCATATTAATACCAAAATACCTCGGTAGTTGCTATTCTCAGAAAACTGAGGAAATTAAGCATCTTCAATTTAGGAACAGCAAAAGGTTTCCAAAAAGGCATAGACTGGAGATGTCTGTTGACATTGTTATTCGAGATGATAAACGTATAGTTATGACTAAGAAGACCCCTACAAAAGAGTCCAAGCAATTAAAGAAAGCGAAGCTAAGTGCATACAACATATTATTCTCCCTGTGTTATAGCCAACAATAAAAATGAGAATACAGAATAGTCACCATGGTGATGAAGGAAAGAGAGGAACTGTTACAACAAGGAGCTCCTTAACACACCTTATGCAGCTGCCATCAATTTCTCTGTCTTCCTCTTCAATCGTTCCATAAATTGAGGATTAGCCTTAAGTCTTCCTTTAACATAAGCATTTCTGGCATCCTCAACAAGTTTGTCAGCTTTTATTGCATCTTTTATTAGAGTATACAGTGTCCTCAAGCAGTCTTTTCTGTTCTCTTCCCGATGTTCAAACCTGCCAAAGCAATCAATTTGCAATGATAAAGCTATCATCCTGAAGATCAAGATTCCTATTAGTATGAAGCAGAGCCACAAATAATATAGCAGTCTTGGAAATGCACAAAAAGACCCAATTCTGACAGTAGCACGTTTTATGGGCTATTTTAGTGATGGATGTCATACATAATTTCATAATCTTAGATTTAGTGTGCAAAGAGAGAATTCATCATACCTTTCACTGATTATTGTGAGCTCATCTTTCCCAGAATTATACCTCTTTCCAACAACCTCACGCAACCGACGGAAAGCATGTCGTGAAAGTCCCAGTTCCTTCACAGTTACACTGAGTTTTACTTTTCTGTTTTTGGGATGATATGCATCGCCACTAGGAGCAAACACAATCCGTGATTCCCACCTTAGAACAGGTCCCTCGCCAGGTAGATCATCTAACTCAACTTTCTTACTTCCTGATTCAGTCAGTTCATCAGCATCAGTTGGCGTCTCTGCTTCAATTAGTTCAGTGCACTCGGCAACCATCCTGTCCTCAAATTCTTTGAACAACTCATATGCCTGCTCAGGTTCCATCTCTCCCCTCTCACACATGTCTCCCAACTCATTAAATTTGGCCTCCACCTTTTGCTTGATCTCATCTGGATGTAACATGTGAAGTTTCAAAAAAGAAATAGAATCACAATACTGCTGTACAGGAAAATGAGAAAACACACCCATAGCTATTATACTAAAACAATTACAAGTAATTACATATCTATATTTCAGGCATGAACAAAATAAAAACAAAACTAGAAATTCACACCTGAATACTCTAACATGCACACAAAGACTAGACTGTTTGCATGGTACCATAGCATCCATACTGAAAATAAATCAGATAGTATGATGACAAAAAGATGCCTTACAAGCAGAAATACCTATTCTATTGACAAGATATGCTTGTTATCACAAGTACAATCTGGACCATTGCCGACTGGCGACTTCTATAATAGCAAGTCCAACGTACTACCCCATCGTGACAGGTTTTATTCTTTGGTCTACACCTAGCTAAAAATTCAAATGTTCTATGTATCAAGCTATATTTTTCAATGATCAGTATAAACTTTTAAACTACAATTACTATGATCCCCTGATATACATTGTTGATGACATGATTACCCCCTTGATGCATCTTGGAACTACCATACAAGGGAGAACAGGCAGGTGCCTGTGATCTATTTGCAGAGGGTGGCACATTGTACCATCTGAGAACAACTGAAGGGCAGATGGAACTGCTTCAGATGTTGACTTGGTTGGGGACCCCAACATCACATCAACCTACTACTGACACATACAATAGCTAAAAGGAGCTTGCATGCCAATTTAGCTGAAATTGAAGAAGCTAAATAGATGCCAAGCTAACTCATTTGTGCATATCACAAAATGAACAGAAGAACATGGCAACAGTACCCTCTTTGAAGTTACACCACAATTGTCTCTGGAATCTTTTTGTTTGTTGCCAGAATCATAAAGTCTTATTTGGTTACTGATGCAAAGTTCAATATATAAAGGCCATCATATGATAAGTTCAACTTATCAGTTAGAAAAGCGAATGAGATAACAACGAAAATCCTTTGTACGCATGTTTCTATAGCTTGTTGACAACATTTCTAATCTAACACAAAAGAAACTCTTAAAAAAACATATCACCATTTTCTGTATGTACACTACGATACCCTTATATTACTTATATGAATCAATTATGCAAGAATTTCACTAAGTAAAGCCAACACTCCGGCTCCGATAATTACACACTTGCCAATATAACCAGTTGCCCGCTTATATATAACAAAAGCCACAACTAGATTATCATCACTCAACAACCAGCCCAGCATAATTCCTTAAATAAGAAGCAGTATGGTATAAAGATGACAGGTGTCTATATAATTCATAGATGCACTCCTTGGCCAACTGACAATTGTCTATATAATCAAAGGAAATGCAAACTGATAAGAATTTGAAGCATAGAAAAAGAAAAGAGATTCATTTTAATCACAAAACTACTTGGCCAAAGCAATCCAATGATGACCGTAAAATGTCAAATCCATTACATCATTTATCTCCAACATCCTAGTCATTAATCTCCAACATCCTAGTCATTAACTTCTCATTATAATTAGAGATTTCATTTCCAAAAGGTTCATAATATTCATAATAATGGGAGCAAGATAGAGAAAGCTTCAACTGAACATACCAGGCAGTAACTTGTCCCAGTAGAGCATGTCCTCCAAGATTCCCTCGCACACCTTCATGTTAGTAAAGCAGCCCTTGTCTGTGGCCTCATTCATCCAGGCATCCCACTTGGAGTCATCCATGTTAAACAACTCATTGTTCTTGATCTTCTTCTCAACATATTGCCTCGCATTGTAGAGGTCATTCAGCTCCTCATCAGTATCGTGCATCTCCTCAAAATCAGACTCAAAGTCTCGGTCACGGACTTCAGGGAGTGGCTTACTACTACGCAGCTCCTCAATAAGGTCATCATCAGTCTCACTATGGGCACCCGTGAGATTCCGCTCAAGGACAGCCTCAGCGACGGATGGTAACTCTGCCTCTTCATCCACCCCATAGTAAGTCTCCAACCTCTTCTTCAACTCTACAATCGGAGACATCATAAGGACAGACCAACAGGATTGGACGAAGAAGGGAGGATGTGACAAAGAGAGTACCTGTGTTCGAGACGTCGGCAGCGGGCGGGGGAGGAGGCGGCAGCGAGGGGACAGGAGGCGAGGCGGCATCGGAAAGGAGGCGGCGGGGAAGGAGGATGGGGAGATTGGTGGCGATGGCGGGTTTGCGAGGCAGGGGAGCGAGGAGGCTCTGGGCATGGGGGTGTAGGTGGGCGAGCAGCCGCCTCATCGCGCCGGCGGCCGGGAAGGGAGACGACGACGCAGATCCGCCGGTGTGTTCTGCGTGGCGGCCGGTAACGAGCGACGGCGGACAGGCGGAGTCGAACGAGTCGCACCCACGGGAGTCGGTACGCTGGTATGGGCCGGCCCATTAGATTGGTTTGTTTCCAGAGTTTGCTTCGCTCACGGTTGGATGCAAATTGGATGGCCCAGATGCTGGACTGCAGAGACAAGTCGTTTTTGCCAACTTCAGAGGATCTGATTCCGGCGGAGGAGAGGTTTAGGGTTTCTGGTTGGGCCCAGCTGGCGGTCGGAGGGAAAATAAACAAGTGTTTGGTACAGCTTTATATATAAGCTGTTTTATGGTCAAAAACTCAAAACAAATCGAAATTAAATCAAACAGCATGTTTCTCTGTAGTTTATTCTAGTTGTGCTTTATTTCTATAACCTCATTTATACTAAAAGTAGGACCTGGATCAGACGTACTTTTTCAATGCTTTTACTTCACTAATAACACGTATCATAATGCAATTGCTACCCATCCTGTTCGCTTGGTTAATAAGTCATGGCTGAAAGTATTGTTGGTTGATTTGTTGTGAGAGAAAAATAATATTTATTAGTTAAAAAGATACGGTTTATAAGTCAAGCGAACAGGACGATCCTGCTTGGATCATAGATAGAAGAAGTATGAGTATAGGTAAAACGCACACATCTACCAGGTACGTGAGACTCTTTCCAAGTAAGAGAGAGCGCGTTCTAGCTTTGTCAATCACGGAATGAACGTTTCCTTCCTTACCATAGAAAAATACCTTTGTCAATTCTGACTTAACGCTACTGCTGTCACAAGTCTACGGGTCAGCTACGACTTTTAAATATCCTAAAAAAACATACATGAACAATGAACATGAGTCATAAATCTAGATCACAAATAAGACAGAAGGCGTGATGGCATTTTGGTAAATAAAAAAAGCTATCAAACATTCATGAAAAACGACAACAGAATGCTATCTATTTATGTTTTATCTTTTTCATAAAATTAAAAGCTATATAATTTATATTATGCTGACCATGGCATCCAAACTATAAAAGTAATGTTGGTAATAATATGCTAATGTCTTATCAAACTTGCATCCAATTAAAATACAACATTGGTAGAATCTTCTGCCTTTACCATTGCAGTATAAAGTATTTACATGTTACTCACAAATATATTATAACTTTAATTTTATATAATTTAATTGTTTCATTACCAAAGGTTGATCTATGTTTCAATAAAAGTAAGTTTGTTTCTAATCATAATTAGGACATTAATAATTTAGTGGTGGGAATCTTTATTTTTAAGAATGTCAACGGTTCAAAAACTCACAATGTCATATCTACTATGTTTATGAGAAAACTAAATTATAATGTCCAAGCAGAAAAAGAAATAAATATATATATATATATATATCGAAAAAGGAAAAACGGACCAACGACCAAGAAAACAAAAAAAGAAACAGCAATACTAGGAAGCAGGTGTCCAGGCGGCGGGATGCACCATTGGTGGGCCGCGCGACACCAGGCCAAACCCCCGCTCCTCTGTTTTTTAAATAAAAAATTAGCTCATCCTCGTACTTGTTTCTATCCGCTCAGCGCTCGGCCTAGCAAGGCTCGCGCGCGACCACCTCCGAGGCGCAGCGCTCGGGCGCCGACCCTGCTAGGCCACTCGGCCGCCGCCGCCGCCGCCCCCTTGTGGTGCCTCCGTCCCCCACCGCGCCCAGGGTGCGCTAGCCCAGCCCACGGAGCATGTGCTCGCCTGGGGTGCTCACATGCCTCGCGCGGGTGCTTACCTAGGCCATCGAGCATGTCCTCGCCAAGTGGCGCACCGGCGAGCTCCATGCGCCGTGGCGGCGTCGAGCTCCATGATTCATCCAAGCAGCAAGGTGACATTGCGTGCTGGAAATGCATGTTGCAAAGAGTATGTTTTAAGTGTTTCACATGTTTCATCTTCATGCTGCAATTGTTTCATATGGATGTTGCAAAAGTAGATCAGGATGTTGCATATGTTGCAATGGTTGTACAGTATGTTGCAAGCTTTTGTTCCTAATGTTTCAGTTGTCATTTTCAGATGTATGTTGCAAGCGTGTTTATCTGAATGTTGCATGTGTTTTATCTGGATATTGTATATATTTTCAGGTGCTTTTACAAGTGTTTCAACTATTTTCGAACGTATGCTACAAATGTTTTGTTTGGATGTTTCAAAAGTAGATCGGGTGTTGCATCTCACTCCTCACCTTTTGCAACCTCGCCTCGGTGTCTTCTCCTCTTGAATGGGTGTTGCATGGGTGGGGCGAGTTGTTCGAGCGGCACAGAATCTGAGCAGGTGGGGCGTGCGAAACAGAGCAGGTGCGGGCGTGGAGAGCTGCATCCGGATATGTCGACGGAATATCAATAGTCCTCCGAGGGGTATCCCATGAAGGTAGATTGATCGGCAGAGGTGCGCGTAATCAAGAAAAAGAAGGCAACAGAGACATAAGAGTTAGACAGTTGAGCCGTCAGCATGACGTAATACTCTACTCCTGTGGTATGTTGGTTTGTATTGGCTATCATATGATATTGCGTGTGTTTTGAGGGGTCCCCTACCAACCTTATATAGCCGAGGGTAGGGTTATAAGTCGATTAGATCTAGGAAATAACCGGTAAGTAATAACATATTACAGGAATCACTGGATCGAACATATCCTAACAGATCTCGTGGCATCTTCAGGATATCACCCTTGATGTCTTATGGTACGCGCCGAGCAGTACCGTGCACCGTAAGTCTTCGTCTTCTAGGCTAGACCACCCCTGGCAACGCAGCCCATGTAGTCTATCATGGGTATCCGGGGTCGTACCCCCCCACACACACAGCTAGTCCCTGAGTGCCTTGTATCCGATGTGCAACGCCGTCTTGAGCTTATCCGAGCAGGTGTAAACAAAGCCGAGCAGTCAGACTTAGTCCGACCACCCTAATGAGTCGCCAAGTAGTTGTGAACCGTAACCGACCAGCTTAACCGTCCAACCGAGCATGGGCTTACCCAAGTAAGGCTTGCCAGAATGATGTAAGGAGCTCAAGTTCAAAATAAAAAATTTCCTCACTGTGAACCAAGTGTGCCCACTTAGAGTCTGACCACGAGAAAGGGAGATGATCTTCTTCAACTTCGGGAGGCATGGAATCTTCCAATGAACATATTAAAGAAAACACACTCATCGCAAGGTGAAGTGTGCCCACTTAGTCCTCGAGTCTGACTATAGGTGACGTGGTCATGTGGTGATAGGGTCCAGAAAGTAGAAGAAAGACATAAGACCAGCCGAACAGGCAACCAGTCCATGAGATGAGCCCTGAAATGAAAAGCGCACATTCATCGCAAGGTGAAGTGTGCCCACCTAGTCCCCGAGCCTAACAGTAGGTGATGTAGTCATGTGGTGCTAGGGTCAAAAACAACAGTAACTAGAAAAAAAGTCCCCAATATGGTGAGAAACCAAATCATAATGATCACGTAGTCCCCGAACCACAGGTGAAAATCTCGGATAAATCAAGAAGTGTCGATTAGTCAAATCATGGAGAAAAAACCGGAGTAATGACTGTACAGTAGAAAATACTGAGCCTTGATGGTATTACGGAGAGGTCAGCGAATATTCGGTGAGTAGTACCGAGTTGCGTTGAAAAATGGGCGATATGGGTCGTAGTTGCGCGGAAGCTCCAATAATGGCCTACCACGCCGCTTTGAGGAATTTGGAAGGGGCGCAAATCAGCATGGTGCGGTTTCCCAAAACCCTTAAATGCAAAAAGTTAGGAGGGTGTCTTTATAACTGCGCCAGTACTCCGCGCTCCCACCTTTGCCACTCCGTCACTTCGTCTTCCTCCTCGCCTTCGTGCTCCCCATTCGCATTCACACGCACTCCGCCGCTAGGGCTAAAAAGTTTGTGTAAAGGGACTAGTTCCAATCCAGATATGAGGGATGGCGCCAAAGAGGGGAGGTGGTAACGCTAAGAAGGCGGCCACCGGGGCGAGCCATGACAAGGAATGGGTACCGTCACTCATGGGGGAGACGGAGCTCAATGAGATGGTGGAGGCGGGCATTCTTCCTGATCGTGTCACTATCGGATGGCGTCCGACCGATGGTGAGCCCTATCCGATGCCACACACCGACGAACTCGTTGTATTCAAATATTATTTCTGGCGTGGATTAGGGCTTCCGGTACATCCTTTCTTGCGGGATCTGTTGGAGTATTGGGGAGTGAGCCTATGTAATCTTTATTTGAACACTATTTTGCACATTTCTGTGTTTATCCACTTCTACGAGGTTTATCTTGGCATTCTTCCCCATTTCAATCTCTTCCGACACTTTTTCTAGCTCAAGAAGAAAGGAGGGGGTGGTTCCAAAATTGTCGGCGGTGTGTATCTATAGCTCCATAATGGGATATCGGGCGAATACATTCCTGTGCCTCTGAATACCTCGCTGAAGGGGTGGAATACTAGGTGGTTCTATATGAAGCAAAGTGATCCTACCATCCAATGCTATGTCAACCAGATTCTCGGAGAATCAAAGGAGTTGGTCGGAGAAACCGATCAGTGCCGATATGGAACAGGTGAAGGAGCTCCTCGAGCTAATGAGGGGCATGAAGATGAGCAGAGTGGTGGTGGCGGTGAACTTCATATCATTGAACTATTCACTCCAAACGTGTCATTACGCTTTGACTTCAAAGGAGATCTTGATGTTCAGGAGAGGACAAGAACTCACCTCCTTGGGTAAAAAATCTGAATTATTGTTCCCGGTGCTTTTTATCCGTCTTGCCGAAATCCTTGAGCAATGGACTGATTCACCTCCTCTTGTAGAAAGATCCATTGGTAGGCTTTTTATGGGCGGCGCATACCGAGCAATGGCATGCCGAGAAAGATCCATTGGCGTGAAAGGCGAACTTCTCGGGCGTGCCGAGGAGCGATTGGCCAAAGGCAGTGGACGCCAGGCCGACCACTCAGCCGGAGAA